GAAGAAGAAGAAGAAGAAGAAGAAGAAGAAGAAGAAGAAGAAGAAGAAGACGGATGCATCACCAGAAAGATCACATGAAGTGATAGTACTGCTTTACACCGCATGGGTGAAACCACACTTGGAGAATTATGTTGAATTCTGGTCACCATGATATAAAAAAGATGTTGAGTTTCTAGAAAGAGTGCAGAGAAGAGCAACAAAAATGATTAGGGGCAGGACTTCAAAAAATTTAGCAACAGGTTCTCTGTCTGGTTGCTGGGTGGGCGTGGCCATGGTGGGTGTGGCCTAGTCAGCCTCCTGCACCATGTCGGGGGGGGCGATGTTTTTGCCCTCCCCAGGTTCCGGAGGCTCTCTGGAAGCCAGAAACTGGCCCATTTCCAGCCTTCCCAAACTCCCAGGAGACCCATTTTTCACCCTCCCTGAGCCTCTGCATGTGCCCTGCACTTACCTGCATCCAAAATGGCCGGCGTGGGGACTCCTGGGAGGGGCGGGGCAGGATGGGTGGGGCCAGCCAGGAGTGGGATTTGGGGTTTTTCCAAACTGCACAGAATCTTAGCTAGGGGGCTCTCACCCCCAGCAGCCCATCCCGGATTAAGGGACTGGAGGCTAAAACATACAATGAACAGTTGGGGGAACTGAGTATGTCTAGGCTATGAAACAGAAGGGTTAAAGGTGACATGATAGCACTCTTCCCATATTTGAGGGGCTGTCACAGCGAGGAGAGGGGGTGGTCCATTTATTCTCCAAAGCAACGAAGGGCAGGACAAGAAGCAATGGGTGGAAACTAATCAAGGAGAGAAGCAACCTGGAATGAAGGAGAAACTTCCTAAGAGTGAGGACAATCAAACAGTGGAACAGCTTTGCCTTCAGAAGTTGTGAGTGCTTCATCACTGGAGATTTTTAGGAAGGGACTGGACAGCCACTTGTCTGGAATGGTATACGGTCTTCTGCTTGAGCAGGGGGTTGGACTAGAAGACCTCCAAGGTCCTTTCCGACCCTGTTATTCTATGTCCTCAGCCTGTGTTTAAAGCTTCTAATGCAAGCCTAGATGTGTTGACCCGGAGTGTAACACTAATGTAACAAAATCCAAAACGTAAATAAATGTCCTTTAATGCCTCCAACTTGGCCCCACTGTTCAATAATTCTCAGCTGGAGATAAATCGTATTCAAAAATAGTCTTCAAAAGAAAGCAATACAGCCCGAACTTAATGAGCAGATAGAGGTGAAATAAAAAAACCAAAACAAACTACAATGGAGGAATTTTCACAGCGGACCAGGATAAGTAATTACCATCTGAAAGGCACAGTCTGTTGGAAGGACGCCAACCAAAATAAAGCACGTTTTGCTTCTGGCAACACTGTGTTTTAACCGCCTCTCTTATATACTATTCTCCCCAGCTGCAAAGAATGTGGGGGATCATGGCCGCTTCCTCTCTCGTAAGCCAAGTTGTTGCCTTCTCCGTTCCTCCCTGCGGGGCCTAGGATGAAGATGGGATGGGCCTGGGTCTTCCTCTGACTGCCCAACTGGCCTCTGCCCTTCCCCAGCCTCCTCCACAACCTCTGGAGCCACACCTCCACTCCCTGTCGGCTGTTCCTCCTCTCCCTCAGAGTATGACTCTAACAAGGGCATGACACTAGATTTGCAAAAAGTAGCAAAAATAATGGTTTCCTAACCCCATTTCAGTTAGACAGACGGTTTAGAGAGCACCCTTGTCCAAATTGTGTTTTATTTCTGAAGGTTCCTGGCCATTGCAATGGGATTTGGGTCTTATTCTTTCCTGCAGAAGGATTAAATTTGTCCATTTCTCTTTTGAAGGCCAGCTCTGCACTGTGGTTTTTCTTCTCCTTTTTGTACTTGTTCTGTTATATGATGTGGGAAGCGACTACAGCTGATGAAAATGAGGCATCTGAGTTTTTATGAGCGGCGAACAGCTGAAGTTCACCCTGGCTGAGTGCAGCTGGACACTAGTTAGAGCCGTCCCTGTCTCTCCTTCCATCCTGCGTTCTGTTCAAACCGATATATGGCATTTTAATTAAGCCCCGGGAGGCTAATTAATCATCTGTCTCTGGAGGCTATTAATAAGGAGAGGACTGTAAGAAATGTCAGTTTGCGGTTAGGAATATGCTGGCGGTGACATCCCGTACAAGATTTTATTTATTTCTTTTAAAAATAAACGCCAATTTTGTTAAGATTTTGCAGCAGACATTCAAATCCAGAAAGCACACACAGATTCAGCAGGATTCATTAACTTCTTTATGTACATAATAACGTGTTAAGTAAAGTTTATAATACCAACGTGGCAGAGAGTTACAGGCAAGAACCCAGGAGGAGGAGAGAACAGTTTCAGTTTTGATTCAGAGTTGTGGACTAGTTTGCAGCTTCCGAGCTCAGAGCTTAATACAGAGCCACGCCCAAGCTTCTTCCAGTTTCAGTTTCCAAACCGTCCTCATTGGCTGACTTAGTCGCTATGCCTGTTTATTGGCTGACCTTGTTACCATGTCTCTGCCAGTTCATGAATATTCTGACAAATTTTTCTGGTTGGCCTTGGTGGCAGCAAAGAGTTGATCAGACAGAGTGGATACCTTCGGAAGAGGGAACTGATCGTGTTCAAATTACAGGTAGTCCTTGACTTAGCCATAATGGAATCCAAAATTTATGTTGCTGAGTGAGAGATTTGCTGTGAGTTTTGCCTCCTTTTACGACTTGTCTTGCCAAGTTTGTTAAAGTGAATCACTTTAAAGTGAAATTTTTGAAGCCCGCCCCTGGTTACAACCCTTCCTAGGAGAAAATGCCAGCTTAAGCTTTCAGAAGTAATCCTGATTCAACCTTGAAACCATCTTTGACATGATCTGTTAATCTCCCCCTCTTCCTTTCCTCTTCCGGGTCTCCAGATTACTTCGCTGAACACATGGGAGATTATGAAGATGTGTTGGCATCCCTGGAAACACTCAATCTCTCCATCCTGAAGGCCATGGGCTACACAAAACGGGTGAGTTGTCCATAAATAGTTACAAACAATTTGTCCAACACTGGAAACTACCAGCTTGTGTCCAACAGAGAAAGGATTACCTTTTAGAACACAAAAACAAAATTGGCCTTAAGTAAATGTGCAATTAATCATAATTGTGCACCAACACAATCAAAAGAGGTAGCACTCTGATTAAAAACTCTCGGTAAACAAATAAATTAGCCCCTTACAAATCACTACAATTAAGCTGATGGAGTTTTTGTCTGCAATTCTAGGTTGTTAGAAAGGAAACCGCATTGAACTTGCTGATAATTATTTTTTTCCAAAATGCATTCAGCTTGTGGAATGGGTTACGCTTTAGCAAGGTTGCATTTTTCTCTCCCATTTGAGATGCAAACAGCCTTGCAAAGAAGAGTTAGAATTCACCTTGGCATCTGAAGTCAGATTACTGTTAAAGGATGAAAATGTCAAACAGAAAGTGGATTAATTTTCTTCGGCCCTGACTGTTGGGTGTTTTTTTTCTCTGTGTTGATCTGTCCCAAATAAGAATACCGTGATTTTATTGAGTGAAAAGAACAGGAATGCAGTAAAGTCCAGGCTAACACATAGTGCAGATTTTATTCTGATGTCCCAGAATGCAGGTGGGTTTAGAATTAAAATCATGAAGGATGGTGACCATTGGAAGAAAAAATAGATTTTATATGGAAGTGTCATGCTCTGTAGGAGTCTGAATCCGAAGAAGAAGATGAATAGCTAACAGGGAGTAGGAGAGTGGTTCCGTTGGCTGTGGAGGAAACTGGGGAAGGGCAAAGTCAGGCTGGGCAAAGCAGGGGAGAGGTAGAACAAGGGAGAGGAGGTTCAGCGGAAGACCTAGTCCCAACCCCTTTTTTTCCTAGGGCATGCAAGGAAGAACGGAGAAGAGAGCAACCTGTGTTGTGGAGGAGAGGGCCTTGATTCCCTTCACAAAGCACACCTGGGGAGGGAGTTTAAAGGAGAGGAACTTTAGGAGGGGTGTTTGTCGGAAACAAACATTGAGTTTATCTCATGTTGGCTGCTGTTATGTGAGTTCCTAGCATCCTCCCAACTGGTTTGATTTACTTCTGTGTTAATTCACTTCTGGAACTCCTTATCTTGCCCTGCCAGATTTATTACCTTATCTTGTCTTGCTGAATTCCTAGTTTAAAGTTTTCTGTTTATGATGTTTTGGATTGGAATATCTGTAGTCAAAGGCTGTTGCAGGTTCCTGGGAGAGTTTTTCTCCAGACCGGAAGGTAACTGGAACACTGGGGGTAAAGTTGGAGCTAATAAAGAGACCCCTACTTATTATTCTGGCTGTGTTGCCTTTGTGCTACGCCCTGGGTCATCACAGGAAGCTTGATGTATGATGGGAAATTTAAAAAGTAATGCCTCAGTTTTGGACAGTGTTCTGAGCATAAAAAGTTTATTGCATGCAACACGAGATGATAACAAAGGCAAATTATATTCTTTGGCTAGTCATTTCTGAAAAATAGTTTCCAATTATGCCAAACAGCTGTTCTTAAACTTTGAGCAATGCATTGCTTTTTCTCTTTTCTCCTTGAAGAAATAAATTAATAAAGGAAAATGTGGATTTTTTTTTTAATACAGCTCTGTGGTTTTTTTCTCTCCTTCACTAAACTGATCTACTAGAAAGAAATTCTCCCTTTTAAATGTTCTACTTTTACTTCTAATGCCGATGCGATGTTCCAGAAATGGCCTATTAGTTTTGTTTTATTAAAATCTTTGCTACACTCTTGTTTTAATTGTGAAAGGGCTTGTGCAACCGTTTTTAATTGGTGTTTATCCTTTGTACCCTGAAAAGACTGCCGATCGTTTCTTTCTTTTAAGGAGGCATGTGACAATTATTTTCAGCGGGGAAGCTCATAAACGAGCCTTGGTAATTAGTGCTAAAGGATATAAGCTAAAGAAAGGGTGGCACTGTAATTACTTTCTTATTTTTTTAAAAAAAACAAAGTTTTTATTTTTTACAACAAACATACAAACAAAACAGAAAAACATAAAACCCTCTTTCAATTATATACATACAGTGTGTCAGTTGGTTACAATCTTTTGTGCTAGCCTTTTTTTTACCGTTACTCACAAGTTGTATAAATTCTCACCTTATCAATCTAGCTTGTGCTTATGTAATATCAATTATTAAACATTCATTTGACTAAACTATTTTTCCATCGTTTTATACGAGATATTCTAATTTTCATTATGATTTAATCTTATACATTCATCCAATCGGTTATATATTTTCTAATTACTTTCTTATTTAGCCAAATGGGAGGCTGAAGGATCCAGTTGGAAGGGAAAATCAAAACTGATGAAAGCTATAAAAAAAAACCACAGACCACTTATTTTGTAAAGAGGCTTCATTTTAGAAATGATTTCCCACCCCACCCCCCTCTTGCTAATAATTTAATGTCAAAGTCAGTACGCTTGAGCTGTGTGTGAAAGGAATAAATAAAATCAGGGGCATGAAATAAGAAAGCAGAGCTAAACCTGGTTTATACATGCATCGTTGATGGTTCCCTTTTTATCTTCTTATCCCTGAAAGCTGCCCAGTGGGGCTGCAAACTCCAAAATCCATGCTGGCTATGGAATCCTGGGCGTTGAAGTCCACAAGTCCTAAAGTGACAAGGGTGGGACAGCTTTGGACTACGTGGTCCTTGTAGAATTGCACCATCCCAGCATTTCTGCAGGATCCGATCTGAGTTGGTCACCGGAACCAAAGGTTTATTAAGAGAGAGAAAATGAGATGAGACGAGATAACCTTTATTGCCACGTTTTTTTTTTCTGTGAATACACTGGCATACATTAAAAAAATGAAACTCTGATGCCCGCTCTCAAAAGAATATACGTGTGTATATGTGTGTATATACACACACACGCATACACACCCACAAAACCGCATACCTGCACATAAAGGTAAGGTTCCCCTCACACATCCGTGCTAGTTGTTTCCACCTCTAGAGGGCAGTGCTCATCTCCGTTACAAACCGAAGAACCAGCACTGTCCGAAGACGTCTCCGTGGTCATGTGGCCGGCAGGACTAAATGCTGAAGGTGCACAGAAAGCTGTTACCTTCCCACCAAGGGGATCCCTATTTTTCTACTTGTATTTTTAACGTGCTTTTGAACTGCTAAGTTGGCAGAAGCTGGGACAAGGAATGGGGGCTCACTCTGTCACGTGGCACTAGGGATTCGAACCGCTGACCTGCCGACCTTCCTGATCGACAAGCTCAGCGTCTTAGCCTTTGAGCCACCGTATATACACATGCTATGTACATGTGTATACCTGCACATACATATACACTATAGATGCATACACATACATGCACATACATACATCATACATACACATGCATATACATACATCATACATAAATAAATATGTACACACACAAACATGCGCGCGCGCACACACACACACACACACACACACACACACACCATTTAGAACAGGGGTCGCCAACCTTTTGGACCTCAGGGACCACCAAACTCATAATTTTAGATCCCAGGGACCACTAATTGGTTCTGTGGGTGTGGCCTAATTTGTGGGTGTGGCTTGGCAGTCATGTGACTGGCTGGGCATGGCTTGTATGTAAATATTATAAATATTTATATAAATATTGATTTTTTTTATTAAAAAAGAGCAACTTTTGCCACAAATCAGGCAAAGCAGGCAGGCAGATTGAGTTGCTCACAGAATGACAGATTCATTCAGAGATCTATCTATCTGACATCGGCTAGCTCAGTCTGTCACATAAAATTTGCTAGCAAGCAAACTCACAAAATTAACTCACAACACACCATGCATGTAAATATTGAATTTTTTTTTATAAAAAAGAGCAACTTTTACCCAAAATCAGGCAAAGCAGGCAGAGTTGCTCACAGAATCATTCAGTGATCTATCTATCTGCCATCGGCTAGCTCAGTCTCTCAAATTTGCTTGCCTTGAATCTGCACTGAATTTGCTTGCAAGCAAACCTTCAGTCCTAAAAGCAGAGCTGAAGATCTAAAGACTAGCTAGAAAGCAAGAAATCCAACCGTTTTCTGATTCATAGCTAATCTAAATTTCCCGGCACAGATGATGGTCGTAAAAAGGAAAAATAGCAATTTAGCAGGCAAGTTTGGTCAGGAGTGAGTGGGTAGGGAGGCTTCCCGCAGGCCATGTGGGAGGCACATCCTTGGGTTTCTGGGCAGCCTGGATTAATTGCTTTGGGGGAGGTGTGCTCTGGGGGTGAGATTTCTCTGCGGCCCATCAAAATTTTCTCATGGCCCACTAGTAAGCCGCGGCCTACTGGTTGGCGACCACTGATTTAGAATAAATAGCAGAAAAAAGAGTATTGAGGGTTCACAAGGTTGAATGTCTATGGAACAAAACTGACTGAATCTAGTTTTTCTTCTTCAGGTCCCGTGAAGCTCCTTCCTCCCAGAAAGTAACAAGAAAAATTGGTGGTGGAGAGGATGTGTATCATCCCTGACAATTCTGCAGACTCTGCTCAAGAGTCATTTATATGCCACTCTTCTCCTGGGGGGAAGGAACTGAACGTACAATAATATTTTCTGCTGTCCTCGCCACTCTCTGCACAGCCTTCCTGTCTGAAGCACTAATGCTTCCACACCAGACAGCAATACAACATGGAAGGATGCTTTCAATCGTCCCCTTATAGAAAGTGGTAAGGACAGTGGAAGGAAAATATGCTTTTCTCTTATTCTTTCAAGCTTTCACGTTTGTCCTGGAGCCGATTCTCAAGGAATTTCTCTCTCTCTCTCTCTCTCTCTCTCTCTCTCTCCCTCCCTCCCTCCCTCCCTCTCCAGAATATATGCACTGGGCTGTTCTTCTACACAATGTATTTATGTAGTTCCTGGTTATGTGTAGCTTTTAGTTGCTGATTAGGGTGTTAATAGTTGCCTTAATTAACACCATTAACATCCTAATCAACATCTAAAAGCTACAAACAACTAAGAACGATATAAATACAACATGTAGAA